CCGAAACCCACCCAAATACGAACACCCGGTCAAGTGGACCACTGCGACACAAGCTTTGGTTATTCCGAACTAATAGCGGTCAGATGGGTTCTTCGAGCATTGTGACCAGACTATAAAACATTGGAGATGTCATCATTCAGATAAGATCATCCGTGCCATTGATAGCGCCAGACGAAGTAATAGAAGCGGCCGGATTTGTTGCTCCTTTGCCATCACGACCAACGGCCGCATCATATTCTAGAAGCTCATGAGGAGCTAAAGTATCATACTTGCAACACATTTGAATCCGACTATCTAGGCATATCCTTATAAGTCATTATTTAAGGCTCGTTTTCACTAGCGGAGGAACGTTCATTGACATCTTGTTGGAAGTAAACAGGGTAGTAGGACCCTACCTCTTGGGCAGCTCAAATTATAGGTGAAACCACAATGGCATATTTGCCTGCGCAATTCCCCTCACGGAATAGTCCCACAGCCGGGCCACACATGCTTATCAAGCTCCAGGTCTTGTAAAAGACCCATCAATCTGGGCAGAAGTACTCCAGGCACTTCCCACTTCCGCTCTAGAAACCATATGTGCGGAGAATAGCCAGTAATAATGCCAGCACAATATCCACTGTTGCTCGTAACTAATGATTTGGCAGCTTAGTCCATCAAAGAGGATATAGACGGCTCACACTCAGCAGCAACGCAAATCCAGTTCTGGCCCGTAGATTAAGGATTTATTTTCACTAGACCTGTGACCATCGTCACAATAATATTGTTTTCAAATGCAGTTCAGCTTATGCTTTGTTTATCCCACTGATTATATTGAATTAACATTACCCTGAATCAACTATTTCCTTTTCTATTACTCAGAGGTATTGTAATGAATGTACGCAAGAATGTTGAGGAAACCTGTCCAGTTCTGTTATTCAGATCTACTATGATACTGACAATAAGGCTAATATTCTAGAGAGCTCTGAAATATTCTAATGCGTAAGCACTCTCGTACAATCATTGGAAATTAATTACATGTATGTTTGAATTTAAAAATCAAAATCGACATGGAAAACCATCGAGAGACTAAGCTGTGTGCTTTTTAGCACAGAGAGGCTCGAGACTGGTTCTAACATACTATCTTACAGCTCAATGAGAGATGGCTTTTGGGTTGACAAGTATGCTTTCGATCCATTTTCTTATATCTTGATTGAACCCAAAACGGGACACGCTTGCATGACCTAGTGAACTTCACAATTGAAGAACAAGTAATGAAGAAACATTTTTATCCTAGTCTTCCTGCAATTTTCATAACCTATAGTGAGCAGCTGATTCTCGATATTCCTCTTCTACAGTATATAGTGAGCAAGAGGTATCCAATTCGTTGGTAACGACTTCTTGATCATCTTCTTCCTACTACATATTATTGGCTTATGCATCAAACTGAAGATCAAGGCATAACGATATCCGCGGCGCCGGACATTACAGCTGATTCTATCAGAAAATGATTATGGATTGTATTTTATCCCTGGGAAAAGTATTGTGATTCTTCATCATCTTGAAGATACTGTAAATGAAGACGAAGTTCATGGCCGTTGCGTGTCGAACAGACATAGAACGATATGAATCACTAGCATGCAACATTTGAAAGTTATGGCGCGAGCGCAGTCAGGGGTCAAGATGTGTCCTGTTTTATCGCGTGTACAGGCAATAAAACACAGAAGACAGCAGCGTACTCTAAATCTATGTTAGAGAATTCTCATCAAAACTCCAGAGTAGATCGTAGACGGCAACTAATACTTTGTATTTTCGTGGCCCTTTTTCTATTAAGACCACTTCAAGATGAATATGTACCAGCGCATTCGTAACCCAACTTTTTTTGCTATACTAATACCACTTCATGGACCAAGAAACGCCATACGATATTATTACCAGCCGTCGGACAATACAACATTACATGTGGGTTGAACCCGATCTCGCAGTAGAACAAGGAGCAGCATGATGACTATGTTTGAAAGTCAACGTTCGAACTGTGGCTCATGAGGGAAGCTATAGATTGCGGAGGTTTCCTGGCACTGGTGCTATGTGAGATCGATAGGGTGTTTAATAAAAGACATCAGTATGAAGTTGGACCGGGTGAAAAATGTCACAATACCCTCATACATACTTGGCATTTGGTATGAGCCTTATCAGGTGCCTTATCAGATGCCTTATTACGTGTTGTTTCATTCATTATTATGCTCATGACTTGCCCATATATTGGATCACTCTTTTCAGATATTTTTCTTCAAGAAATCAAGCATCTCACCGATATGTATAGTACCATTCCATCCATAGTTTATGTTCATAGAATTAAGTCTTTTAGGCCTGATTCTCTAATGCCCTGCTGTGTGCTCTAACTCGTGACATAAGTCTCACAAGTTAATTACGAACAAGGTAGGAGTATTGCAGTCTCAGCCGACTTCGGTCTAGAGGGCCCTTGAAGAAATACTGGCAGACAAGGAGTTTGTTAGATAGATAGTAGCTGATGTTCTCTGACATACTTGGCTCGAATCTGAGAAATAATACAGCTAGTAACCCCTAGGTCGTGTATCTATTGGAACGCTTGATCATTGACCACAAACTCACCTCTACCAGAACTGTGTTGGTTGAAGCCACGATATGTGCAAAAAGAAACTCAAAGTTATCGAATTCTCCTAGAGTGAAGGTGAGAACCACTCGTGTTCTGGACTTAAAGATGAAAGAGCAATCAAGGTGTTCTCAAAGGAATCGTGTTTAGTTTCGATCTCCGTATTAATATATTCCAAGTGTATTGAAGCCAGTGTTGCAATGAAATCTGCGTATAAGCGCCGCAGTAAATGGCTCGTGGCATCACGGTTAATAAAGACCGGCCTCCAAATGTGACTATTTGAGTAAATGAGACGACTTCAAACCGGCTAATGAGATTTTCAGCTCTACCATGGACGAAGATTGACATTTCTTTCTACTGTATATTTGAGGGCCACCCGCGTAGTTTCACGCTGAAAACCAAAACTGGACCCCAGTCCTATATACAGACAGTATCAATCATTGCCAACTTAATATAAGAAAAGTTGGTTGCGAGATACTATGAATAACTTGTTATTTTTGAGTGATAATACACAAGGCAGCCCGACCCAACAACGTCCACAGCCCAGCCTCCATGTCGTATTGCTTTGGAAAACTGATTGCCCCGATGTCTGGGATTCTGCGATCGGCAAACAAGACTACCAAGCTTGTCCGAATTCGGTGTAAACCGCCGATGGTATTACCTAAGAGGGTTCGCTAACCCAATGCAAATGGCCTTATTGGCTAGGATAGCTCGATGAAGCCGGCAATTCACATAATCGTTATGGGTGGCGCCGTGCACAAGTGCCGAGTCCGAAGCCCCTTTCTCCGCTTTTCGAAGCGACATAGTGCTACGACAGTGTGTTATTTCATCGTACTTCCTGGCACTGTCTATTCTTGCCTGCTAGGGTCCGTACTATCTGCTATCTAGTTGTCTGTTCCATCAAACCAGTTCCATGGTACTGTTTCCATCTAGAACCCTTCCATTTTGGTGTCGAGTATCGTACACGGTAATCATACTGTGTTTTCCGCTGTATTCAATGTGCGTGTGCGACTTCAAGAGGCAGTGCCTTCGACACGTACTCATATTTGGCAGGCAGTACGGATAGGAAAGGGGCAATTGTAGGTAGTCCACGACCACCGCTACTATAGCACGCGACTCAGGAAAGCTCGCTAGGAACTAAGACCCCACCCTATAACTCGGACCACCCCTAATGTCGGACCATGCAAATACGCACCAAATTCACAGATTTACTACACCAAATCTACAGATTTAGCAATTTTTTTTAAAAAAATTAGAGAGAAGTCCAAAAGAGATAGAATATTTAGTATACGTTCTCTTATAGTTAATATATAATATATAAAATCTATATATATTATATACTTAGATATACCTACTTTACCTTATCTACTCTTATTAATAAAGGCTTATACAAGTATAGTATTTTATAGCCTATAGAGAATTATATCAAATTTACTTTATAATATACTTTGCTTATTAAAAGCTATCTATAAAGTTTGACGCACTTTAAGTCTATCTTTAATTTCTAAGAAATAGTTAACTTAATGCACTTATCTCTTATTATAATGCTATCTAGGGGCAGGGTTGTAAAAAATACTACTAGTATTTAGTATACTAATACTAGACTTAAGTATACTTAGTATTAGTATAAGAAAACTATACTAACCTTAGTATTAGTAAGTATTAGTATAGCCTTTGTTAGTATTAGTATTACTTAGGTATACTTAAGTATACTAATTAGTATATAAAAATAAATAAAAATAAATAGAAATATAGATAATATATTTTTAGTTATTAATATACTATATATAATAGTATATATATACTAGTATAAATATATATATACTATTAATACTTTTTATAGTATTTTTTTACTTTTTTTACTTTATAATTATAATTAATTTATAATTTATACTAGTTTTTAAGTATTAAGTTAATTATTACTAAGATACTAGATTAGTAAGCAAGAAGTTTTACTTACTAAAGTAGTTAAAAATAGTAATTATTTATTTAAAATATTAATTTATTATTCTTATTTATTTTTATTTATTTTTATTTATCTTTATTTATTTTTATTTATTTTTATTTATTTTTACTTACTAATTAGTATACTTAAGTATACTAATACTAAACTAGCCTAGTATTAGTATACCCCTATACTAGACTAGCCTAGTATTAGTATAGGCTCAAAAATACTATTAGTATTAGTATAGGCCAATACTAGACTTAAGTATACTAATTTACAACCCTGTCTAGGGGTGGTCCGACATTAGGGGTGGTCCGAGTTATAGGGTGGGGTCTTAGAATCCAGGGGTACCGGAAAACTGTCTCGCTAATCACCACCCCTGCTCGGAAAAGGAAAAAGTGCCTGGTGAGTTCGATATTTGGTTGATGTTTCGATGATTTCTCCACGCAGCTTTGCGCGAGCTGATTACCCGGCTTGGAGCTGCTGTCCGTTGAGGGTTCTTGTTCCTCGAACCAGATTCTTAGGACTCTTGATGTTGAAATAATTTTGGAGCTCTTCGTAAACATTTCTACATCGTTATAATCCAATCACAAGGCAGAATCACGAGAATATCTTCGTTATAAACACTCAGTCGACACAATGCCACGTTATCATTATCATGTCGCTTAACGAACGAAAGCGCCACCTCCACTGGCACCAACAAGGTTACCCGTCATCCATCCGCTCTCCGGCAGGCAGCAAACTCCTACAACACCAGCAACCTCTTCCAGGTACCCAGGGCGGCCGCCAATGCTCTGGGCCAAATCTAGAACCTCTTGGCTGTCAACATCAGGCCTAGCCTTAGCGAGGGGAGTAAGAATGTTAAACGGCCGCAGAGCCTCACGGGGCTCATCGGGCAGACTAGAGTACAGCCCAGTATCCATAGGGCCGGGGGCTACGGCATTGACCGTGGCCCTCTCAGCAAGCTCACGGGCCCAGACACGAGTCATGGCCTCAATTGCACCCTTGGTACCGGCATAAGATGTCTGCCACCAGACACCCCAAGTAGTGGTAGCGCTGGAAATGTTGACGATCCGACCAGAACGGTCAGTAGGCAGGTAGGGGAAGGCAGCCTTCACAAGCAGGGCGGGTGCCTTGCAGTTCAGGTTGAAAGTCGCATCGAAGAGATCAAGATCCAGCTGATCAATCCCCTGAGCGTTCACGGTAGCGGCGTTGTTGATGATGATGTCAATCTGGAACCGCCCATTTGCGTCGGTGAAATGGGCCTTCGCAGCGTCAACGACCTGCTGAGGAGCGTCGGACTTGCTCAGGTCGGCCTTGACGGGGAGAGCCTTGACGTTGTATTTGATCTCGAAGTCCTTGGCGAGCGCCTGAGCTTTCTCCGTTGAAGCGTCGGTGGCATAGTTGATAACAACGTTGGCGCCTCTGCTAGCGAAATGCTCGGCAACAACGGCACCGAAACCTTGCGGAACAATCGTCAGTTCAGAGTCATTTTGGAGTAGGCCCTCGTACCCTGGCCTATAGACAGCTCAACGCTATTCCGAGGAGTCAAGGTACATACTTCGCGAAGCGCCAGTGATAATGGCAAGTTTGCCCTCGAAAACTCTGAAAGGAGCCATTACTTCTCAGGTGTGAAATGTAAGGAGAAGAAAAAATAATCAATGTGACGTGGTGGCGGGGAGAAAGTTATCCCTCCCCACTGTGCGCCTTATATACTGTTATTGTCTTGGTCCTTCTGCCGTACTCTATATCCACAATGGAAGCTAGACGACTGGTCTATGCCTCCGGGCCGCATCCTGAGCGACTTCCGAGCGGTAGTTTGGGTCAGGGGTAAAGAAGGTTCTTACGGCCCATGGCACTCCACATAGCCACGTCAACTACCCGAATCGCTCGTCGATCTCAATGTTCATAAGCTGCTCGTGAAACCCGTTGGTAACAGCTCCTTGGCAGCAGTAACAGGGTCGGTGAGAAATTTGAGTGACGGGGCCATATGTGGTAGGTATTTCAGCACCTTGGTGAAAAGATAGCCCAAATTTGAAAAATAAACGAATAGGAAGATGATGCGAGTGTGCTTGGGTCTGCAAGGTATCTATCTCACAGAGGGCGGCACCATGATTTGTTCTCAGACGGCTCCAAGAAAGAAGTGGAATGAGACTCAGGGTTGCAGCCGAGTTTCCCAACCCCATAAAATATTTACGTTATTATGTACAGTGTTGAAGAGCTTGTTCCACATTTCCGGGTCAAGATGACCTGGTTCTACTCCGTTTTACACCACCGGAAGCCTCTGACGAATGCCCCGGCCTTCGCGAAAGGGCTATTTGTACCGAAAATGGCAGCGATCTGCTACGTATGGAGACAGTCCGTTTCGAGGCGGTGGGATCAATGCTACGCTGCGTAGAATCAAGGCAGTAAGTACTCTGAGAGGTGTATAAATCCCGCGAAGCATTGATTATTATGCTGGTACTATACTGACACGACTTCGGGACGCATCACGATGAGCTGTGAAATATCCGAGACAATCAGCATAGATATTAGTCTTCGTAGGAACTTTGTGGGAACCTCAAAGAGAATTCGTGAAGGTTAAGAATATCTTCCAACTTTTCGACCAAAGAAAGCAGTGTGATATCAAATGGCGGATGTCTGTACCGGGAAATGTTCGCTAACAAGAATTTCGCAAGTTAGTATTAATCTGAAGCCATATTAGAGTGTCGCGGCAGGGTATACGTGCTTGATGGAGCAGAATGTTCTAAATGTGAAGTATGGGTACTTTGAAAAGCGCTTCTGATAGGAAAGCTGTCGAAATTAAACTGCTTGACCTGGGTGGGGGGTGTAAACTCAGCCCATGCCGTCTCCTTTTATGGCAAGGAGCATCACAGTGCCGCACGGCATATATCTCATGCTGGGATTTGGTGGATACCATCTTGCACTTCTGTTGCTAAAACAATCGGGCCGCTTTTAAGCAGTCGACAACCCCAGGTTCGATCCCGCGCAGTTACTCTTCTTACAAGCTTTCTGGGCCACAAGATTCCGTTTTTCTTAACTGCTTGTTCTGTGGTGCTTCCATCTCCCGGCGACGGAAACATAGAGCACGAAGCTGGTTCATCAGTCGTAACGCGCGTCGTTCGCCACAAAATTGGACGCTCTAGCGTCAAACGATACTACGGTTACTATTCAGCCGTAACGCTGCAGCTCGGACAAGATGGGCGCCGCTACATCAAAAGATATGGCCGCTGCGGTCCTGGTGCCGCTCCCATTCAACATTATCACGTTGGTGCTGCGGTTCTGGATTCGAACGCAAAGGAAGGCCTGGGGTCCGGATGACTGGGCTATGGTTGCCACCGTTGTAGGTTCTTACGTTTCCGACAACCCCAAAGTCTGAGACTGACAGATCGAAGCCTGTTTGGATTGTGTCCCAAGTTGGCCTGCTAGGCATGGCCTGGAGCGGAGTTGGAGGAATTGATGCAACATTGACTGCACAACAGGTGACGAACTCCTATTTTGTGAGTACCTTCCCTGGAACGAATGGCCCGGCCAGCTCTAATGAGAGGTTCTGCAGTGGTTCTACGTGTTTCAAGAATTCTGGTGCTTTACCTTGGTCGCGGTGAAATGGTCAATCGGGTTTACTCTGTTGCGTATTGGTAACGGACAACGTTGGGTGCAAATAGTCATCTACACTTGTCTTGCGTTAGTCACTATTTGCACCGGAGGTACTGGCATGTATCTGTTTTTTCAATGTTCGCCAGTTGAGTAAGTTGTCTCGATGGTGCTTCCTGGAAGCTGCTCTTACTGACTGCATAGGAAAAACTGGTATCTTACGATGGAAGGAACCTGCAACCCCCGAGAGATTCAAACCGCGCTTTCGTTTCTTGTTGCTGCTGTGTCTATTTCTACCGATTGGATATTTGCAATCATGCCATTTGCGCTGATCTGGAAACTCCAAATGCCGAACAAAGTCAAGGCATCTGTCATTGGACTTTTGGGCTTGGGTTTCTTGTGAGTTCCTGCTCAGGGAGCCCCTGACATGATCGTTTTCTTGCTAACAACAGCCTACCAGCGCATCTGTTGCTCCCATCGTCCGACTAAAGTATCTCCTCCTGCTGAACGATTCCGCAAAGTTCCTTCACGGTCTAAGCATCATTCTTGCTTGGGCCCAGGCAGAAGTCGGCATCGGAATGCTTGTTGCGAACCTCCCCGCCTGCCGACCGCTTCTCGAACGGATGCTTGCGCACCTGACGTCCTTCACCAACTCCAAGAATAAATCCACGAAGGACCCCGCATCATCAGTGGCACCTAAGAATAGCTATCTTGAACTAGGCGAGAGGGATGCGACCAAGAAAGCTAATGGCGCCAGCCGGTCTGGCGTCGAGACAAGAGTATATGGCAGGGACATGGACGGTGACAGCAACGAAAGCCTGCCAGACGATCACAGTCAAAAAAGAATTATGACCGGGGGTGGCTTCGGCGCCATTCGAGTACAAAGGCAATTCAATATGGAAGTTGAGAAGAAGCCAAACGACAGCGTGGTGTGAAGCATATAAAAGAGATCTACATTAACAATGGCACGATGGGGTAGAAGAGAAAATCAAATTGATATGTATTCACGAGTAGATTTAAGATGCTTAATGGCGATGACCGTCTAGCCATAATATAATTTCGTTGGTGGCAGCTGTCGATCGTCAGCGTTGAGTTTTACGAGGTCCTTTGGAGACAAGCAAACTCGTAGCAACATATTCATTGCCTATGTTAAACTAATTTCTAAAACATGCACAGGTACTGCCCTGCCCCCCTAAACTTCGAGTATACATTTTTTGACTGGCTCGATTGCTTTGCGCGAGCCACTTCCGTGGCCAGGCGCGTACACAGTGGAGTGGGCCGGAGCGGGCCGGAGCTAGCGTTCCGCCATCTCCATAGACGGCCCGTTAGCTTCACCTACAGTCGCTAAGCAGTTCTTGGTATAGCTCAGCGTGTGTGACCCATGTCTGCGCAGAAGTATCGAAAGCAAAAGTAGTTTGCAATGTGGCCTACAGTTGAGAATTCCGAAACCAGCGAGCCCTAAAGAAGTTATCTTTCTCTGCGTTGTTTCCAAACCCTCAAACCATTGGCAACTTTGTCCCACAAAGTCTAGTTAAGACTCGAGCCAGACCCCTTAGAGATCATTTATGTCATCCTTCCCATCAGCCACCCACAGTCACTCCATCTACCAAAGGCGGTTGAGTGAGATGCTTTCTCACTGAGAAACTATTCATAGTTATTTATATATGATCTAGATTAAGGGACTGCGGCATATCTTCACGTACCCGCCCATGTAAAACCTTGAGCCACTCAAAGCACGGGGCATTTTCGATGGGCATGTCAGAGTTGAAGCCCAAGTGCACGAGCTTTGCCCTCCTCACGCTATCGCCTTCCCCGTCCACGCTCCGCTGGAAATCTCCCCCATCTCCGGCTCCGCAGCCGGGTCCGCGTTCCGGAGTGTGAGCAGCGGCGCCTTTCCTTTCAACGAAACGCTAGATTGACCCGAGAGTCTTGGGGAACAAAATTTGTGCGGTGACATCGTAAGCCGTAGTTGCGCATTATAAATCAATATTCCGGCTTACCCGGACATTCGAGGGGTAGAGGATGAGGACCTCATTGACTTTCTCGGCAGCCGAGATGCGCCGAGCTGCCATCTAAATAGTCAGAGCGCCAGGTTGGTCGACAGATGGAAATTACTCGGAAATAGAAGCAAACTTCCTCGATAGATCTCTTTTTCACCGAATCTGTTGGGTTTCGTATTCCAAGCCCGGCACTATCTCCGGGCCCGGCACTATCTCCGATCCGGTCACTATCTCCGATCCCGGCACTACCTCCGGTCCCGGCACTACCTCCGGTCCCATGACCGAGTCACTCCCCTGCACACGCACGCTAGAGTGCCGTTGAGCAACATGCCATTACTTATAAGGAGAGCCTCACAGTTTACGGGGCTATCTATCGACTCCAAGAAGTAGTGAGAAATTTTCCTTGTCTTCATACAATGTTCGCCTCCGACAAAGACACTGTCGCAGCTGCCCTTGCTGTCGAAGGCATTGCCTGCAACAATCTCCTCGCACCAAACCCAAAATTGGGAAATGCCATTGCGAATTCTCAAAGGAACAATCTGCCGGAGATCTCGGTATCTCCTCTACAAGGCCAGTTCCTCGCCATCCAATGCCAGCTGATCAATGCAAAAACTGTTCTCGAGATCGGCACGCTCGGTGGCTACTCGACCATATGGCTTGCACAAACAGGCGCAAGGGTTACCAGTATCGAGATCAACCCGAAGTACCGCGAAGTCGCACTGGAGAACGTCGCGGGACTTGACACTGAGATCATACTCGGTGCTGCTTTGGACGTTCTGCCGAAGCTGGCCAAGGAAGGCCGCAAATTCGATATGGTGTTCTGCGATGCCTCTTGGGGCGAACAGAAGAAGTACTTCGATTGGGCAGTTGAACTGACTAGGCCCAAGGGGTGTATTTATGTTGACAACGTTGTTTGGAATGTGCTTGAAAGTAATACCGCACAGACGGGGAAGAATTCGCTCTTGACTCATGTAGGCAAGAACAAAAGAGTCACGGCTACGCTGGTTCCCATGATCTCAACGGCACACACTGTGTCAAGGACGGATGGGCCAGACGGGCCGAGCGCGGGTCAAGCATCACGTGACACTGAATGAGCAGGGTGTGCGGCGTGAGCGCGCAGGGCGCACAAGAGGATCATGTGCTTAGAGGGCGCGCAGAAGCGAAGTAAGCGTGTACACACTAGGAATACTTAGGGGAAAAAAGGAAGAAGAAAGGAGGGAGTAGCTTTTAGCTTTAGTAATACTATATACCTACCTTTGCACTTATAGCGTGTTTACTTATTACCTTAGTTACCTACTACTATTTAATAGTCTAAAAGCTTTACCTAGACAACTAGCCTAATAAGTAATATGCCTACAAATACCTGTTATATAACCTAAGAGGTAGCTATGCCTAAGCATAGCAGCAGCAGCGCCTAAGCAGTAACTAACTTAACTAGTTGTCTTTTACCCCCTTTGCTTATAGAAGGGAGTACCCTAAGGAGCTGTAGCTTGTCCTATAGACTTGCTATATTAGTAGAGAAAGAGTAATAACTAGAGGAGGAGCTTAAGATTGCCTACAGGGAGACTTGAATTTATTATTAGTATAAAGAGCTCTTGTAGCTCTAAAGCAGTAGTTGTGCTCTTAACACTAGAGCTAACTATGTAATAGGCGTAGATAATAAGCTATTACCCTAAGACTAGAGTAGGGCTTAAGATAGCCTAGTGATCCTTTTAAGCACTAAACTAGATAATAGTTTACACCTATATTAACCCTTGTCTCTCTTTACACTGTTATATAATAGGGAATTATATAGAGACCTCTAGGTCTTCTTGTTTAACTACTGCATACGCTTTACACTATACATAAAGCAGTTTTATAATAACTACAACAAGATAGTGTATACAACAAGCTACCTTAAGGGCTATATAAAGAGGGGATAGATAAGGTATTTAACTAAGAAAGAATATAGCTTTATAAAGTAGGTAATTAAGGCGTAGGGAGATTTTAAAGATTTCCTATGCAACAAGCTTTTAGACCTAGGTAGCTATGTAGTTACAGTAACCTTATAGCTAGACTGCCTCTACTAAGGGCCTAACTAGAGCTTTAACTAGTTCTTTATAGAATATAAAGCGCTAAAGATAAAGCTGCCTTATACTATTCTAGAGAAGTAATGTATTTTTTTCCTCCTAACTAAGCTATAACTAAGCACTTAATAAGCTATTAGCTTATAGCTAGTGCTCCTAAGGATATGCATAGAGTTAGTTTTACTAGTAAGGCATATAAAGTAGGCTACTAACTTTTACTGTTAACTATAATATAGCTAGTATAATGCTTACCTTACTTAAGTAGTACCTAAGTAGCGCAAGAGAACTAACCTTACTGTTACACCTAGCTTTAATAACGTAAGTAAGTAGATAAATAGTAGGGTATACTATAACTATAATAAGTTAGGGTATATTATAAAGAACTACCTATAAGTAGAGAAACTATAGGGTATATACTACGCCTATAGAGTATAAGGCTATTATATAAATAAGTGCCTAGAGATAAAGTGTAAGAGATATAAAAGAAAGGGGTATATGTAGTGTAATTACTACAAGGAAGTAGATAATATAAACAGTATACTAGTAGTAGTAACAAGGGGGGGTAGTAATAAGGACACTATATTAAGATCTTGCTTATATTATAGAAGAGCACTATATAGGCAACAATAAAGGCGCTTATTAACTTAGGATTAGAAGCTAATATAGTAAGCCTAAGTATACTTAATACTAACTACTTACTATAGATATATCTATCTGCTCCCCTAGTTAATATAAATAATAAGCCTCTCTTAATAATAGAGTATACTACCTTTATATTAAGGCTACTAATAGTATAGGAGTAGTAAAGTATTAACTATATTACTTTATTATAGTAGACCTATAGCACTTAACACTTATCTTAGGTATTAAGTAGTTATAGGAGGTAAACCTAGTAGTTAACTAGTAAGTAAAGTACTAGTAATACCTTTACTATAAACAAGATGTTAGCCTTGTTAGGTTAAAAAAGGAATTCTATATACTATAAACTATAGTAATAGCGCTAACGCTATATATTACACCTATAGCGCCTACGCAGGAAGGGAGCAACAAGCTAGAGTAGTGTAAGTAAATAGCTAAGTATATAGACTTTAAGGAACTATTCTTAGAAGATAAAGCGCTTAGCCTACTAGAATACTCTATGCATAAGCACTATATTAACCTTAAAGAAGGTACTAAGGTGCTATAAGGACCTATCTATACGCTATTAGAAAGGGAGCTTAAGATACTTTATAAATACCTTAAGAAGGCTAAGGCTTAAGGGTAGATTAGGCTATTATAAGTCTAGGAGGGGCACTTATCTGTTTATCCTAAAGAAAGGGGAGCTGTGACTTTATGTTAACTATTGTGCGCTAAACAAGGTTATCAAAAGGACTAAACACTGCTACTGCTAATAGGAAAATCCTTAACTAGCTATCTAGTGCTAAGATTTACACTAAGCTTAATATTAAGAATATGTACTATTAGATATATATATATATAGGCAATAAGTAGAAGACAGCCTTTTACACCTAATATAGCTACTTTAAGTATTATGTTATACCTTTTAGCCTAGTTAATACACTAGTAATGTTTTAATTATATATTAACAAGGCCTTAGTAGGCCTAGTAGATATAGTGTATATTATATATTTAGATGATATTGTGTCTATAGTAGTAAATCTAAAGAGTATAAGGACTATGTAGTAGTGTCTTTATAAGGCTAGAGTAGTAGGGGCTTTACCTTAATCTAGGAAATATAAGTTCTATAGGATAATAATTAGGTTCTTAGGATTTATGTTTTAATAGAGGGTATCTTTATAAAGTAAGGGTATATTAAGGTAGTTACTTAGTAGCTACTACTATATAGTGTTAAAGATATTTAAATATTTCTTAGATTTATAGGGTTTTATAGGTAGTTTATTTAGAACTACTTTAAAATAGTAGTACCTTTAACTAATAAGCTAAAAGAGAACTAGAGAGGGAGCTATATCTAGATTCTATAGTAGTTATAGTGTTTAAGTAACTTATTATAGCCTTTACTAAAGCGCTAGTGCTACGCTATTTTAATATAGACTTACCTATAGTAATCTACACTAATATTTAAATTTACTATTAGGGTAGTGCTTATATAATAGTATAAAGGAGGTAGTATCCTATTGCTTTCTAATTATATAAGCTATAGGAGTAGAGATATACTATAGTACTAGTAATATAGAGCTACTAGTAATTATTAACAGCCTATAGAACTAGTAGTAATATATTAACTATAGTAAGAAAATAGTTATAGTATAAATAGATTACTTTAACCTTTAATTCCTAGATATAAAGAAGTACTTTAACCTAAGACAGCTACACTAGCTTAATAACTTAGTAGTGTATAATATTAATATTAAGTTTAAACTAGGTATATAAAACCCTATAAATAGACTCTTAAGAGGCTAGACTATACAGTAGATAATAAGGAGTAGCTACTAAGTAGTAAGGTAAAGGTAATATTAGTGTAGCTATAGTAGGCAGAGGTAGAATAGGAACCCCTTTAGGTTATAGTAATATTACTAAGGCTGCGCAAGAGGGCGTGTGTACAGAGGGCTAGGAGACAGCAGGGGTAGGCACCTAACCTTAGCCTGACTAGTTAGAAGGGGTAAACTAGGGGGCACAGCAGGAGCTGTGCTAGAGTAGTAATAGAGCAGAGGGCTAACCGCTTAAGCCTATTGCTAGGGCTATAAGTTGTGAATTATATGTCTTATAGAGGAGTAAAAATTAACGTAACTCTAAAATAGTAGATAGTAAAGTAAAGCTAATAATTACTATGTTACTGTAACTTTAATAGGGGACACCTTTATAAGGGAAGAGTAGTAGTCTAAGAGGTAAAAGTGTAGTAATTAAGCTAGGCTTATAAAGAGAAGGGCAGTAGAGGAGCCTAGTGTATTAACATAAGAGGTCTCCTCTATAAAGGAATATAAGTCTATATACCTTAAAAAGAGGGAATAAGGAGAAGGATCCTAGAAGACTACTATAACATAGAGTATATAGGACATCTAGGCGTTAGCTATATAATATAGCTACTATAAAGAAGCTACTATTAGGATAGACTATAGAAGAATATTAAAGAATATATTAATATATATATAGTATACTAGAAAATAAAGCTATAGTATTACTGCCCTTATAGCTACCTTGCTTTACTACTAATACTAAAATGTCTATATATAGAAATATTAATAGACTTTATTATAGGGCTTCTGCTATTAATATTACTACTAGGGAAAAAGCTATATAATATTATCCTTATTATAGTTAATTAGTATATAAAATATAGTATTTATATTACTATAAATATATGCCTTACTATAAGTAGCCTAGCTAACCTACTGTTTATAAGGGTATTTATAACTTTTAGAACACCTAAGGGTATTATCTTTAATTAAGGTGCACTATTTATAAGTAAGTTTTAGGTATACCTCTGCTACCTCTTAGGAATAAAGTAGTGTCTAAGCACTATGTTTTACCTATAGACTAATAGGTAGACTAAGAGGTAGAACTAGAATATAGAGCACTACTTTTACTACTTCTACGTAAGGGACTAAGTAGATTAGGTATAGTGACTTTACTTAGCTTAATTTATATATAATAACGTATATTACTTATCTATTAGTATATCCTTAAACAAGGTATTAATAGGCTAAGATTTACCTTTGCCTATAGATATCCTAATAGTAGGGGCAGCACTAGCCGTAAATATCTTAGTAAAAGAGAGGGTCTAATAACTTTGCACTAAGAAAGCTAATCTAGAGCTTATACTACACAAGGCAAGCGTACAGTAGACACAGGTGTACAATAAGAAAAGGACACTAAAGAGATTTAAGGTTAAAGACTAGGTACTACTGTTTAGTAAAAATATAAAGTAGAAGTGCCTAAGTAGTAAACTTATAGATAAGTAGCTAGGCCTTTTCTGTGTACTTATAGTAGTTAGCTTCTATAGCCTAGCTTACTAACTTAATACTTTTACCTACTACTGTATATATAATGTTTTCCTTATATTTTTACTAGAGCTATTTAAGAGTAGGGATAGTAAAAAGCCTAAGTAGCTATAGCTATATAAGATAAACACTAGGCTACTGTATAAGGTAGAAGAAATCTTTAACTATAGGGGACTAAGGTGTAATAGGTAGTACCTTATCTAATAGAAAGGATATAGTAGTAAAAAAGACACTTAAGAGCTATAGTATTATATTAAGATAAAGTTACTTATTAATAAGTATAAGAAGTAGAGAAGTAATATAATAGTAGTGTTAA